CACACACGCACGCCAAGCACGCCAAGTACGTCGGGAGCGAGCCCGCGGCAAGTGCAGCGTGCAGTGCAGGGGGCCACAGCCTAGGCCGCAGTATGGGGACCACAGCGCGGTATGTATTATCATCATCGCATTTGCGCGGCGGGCAACAAGACGGCGGGGCGGGGCCGGCGGGGCGCACCTGCAGGCCCGCGCCCGGGCCCGCCCGCTTTTCCCCGTATAAATATCCCGCGGATGAAGTCGTGCCGGACGGGACGGGACGGTCCAGTGAAAGCCCCGGCGCAGCAGGCCACTGGGTGCACTGCATGTTGTTGTTCAGCAGCCGCAGCCGCCGCAGCAGCAGCAGCAGCCGTGCCACCCGCATAAGTAATCCTTTTCCTTTTCCTAGGGACTTCCCCGTAAGCGCGCGCCCGAGCAGCCGCGCCGGGAACACCATAAAGAGCGGAGAGCGCGCGCGCCGTTCACAAGACCACACCGTGTCCCGGGAGGTGGGTATTATTTTTACGAGCCTGTTTTCCTCGGAGCTGGTCGACGGGGAATCGCGGGTCCGCGGGGGCCATGATAAAGGTATACCCGCCAGAGATTGGTCATACAAGCCCGCCATTTTATAGCTCTCTCTCCTCTGCGACTCGAACCGCAAAGACTTCCCTGAACTACGGGTGATAGTTTCAATGTCGCTAAAAGCAATATTGCAGTGGAAAATATCTTTAGCGGGCGTAGTTCCGCTCAAAAAAACTAGATGTGGGCAACCCACAGAGACGTTTTTGTCATCTTTTAGAGGTGGGGATGTGGAGTTACTCTTTACACGGTGCTGTACTTCATTTGAACCCAGTGTAGTAATTAGACCTGAGGAAGGCCATGGTAAAATTTTAACTGTACCCAGGTATGGCTGATTAACCCCGCGCACTTCTGTAGTTATGCTGTACCGCATTCCTACGTGCGGGCGGGTTGCCTACTCGCTCGGGTCCTCGTAAGGCGCCGTGTATACAGACAGGGGTGGTGAGCAAGCCCCGCCCGCACTTCTGCGTGCGGTACAGCATAACTAGAGAAGTGCGCGGGGCTAATCATCAGCCACCTGGTATGCTACATTTTTCCTGTTAAATGGGACTCACCAATACAGTTTGAAATTAACTGAAAAGCACGCACTAAGCTATCTCGGGATGATGGTCGTCCCGGTCGGCCTGGCCGCTCCGCGTGCTCCACTCGGTGATTGAGATGCTGGCCGGACCATAGGGCTGCACGACTTGACCTGTGGCCGCGGATCGGGGCGGGGCGGGGCTCAGCAGATCCTCGCGACTGATAAGGCGGAATAGTGCAGTGCCGCGGCAGAACTGGGGAATAAACTGAGTAAAAAAAGAGTCTCCAGCCACATTTTTATTTAACGTCCACGCATTGCATGATGAAGACGGCAGTGATATTTCTACAATTATTATACTAAGGTAATAACACGATAGTATGGTAATAATAATAACAATAACTTCAACAACAAATCATTAACATTTGAAGTCTTACTTGACACAATCCACAACTGGGAGACAGTACAAGAGTGACAGATAAAAGGAAGAATTTACTTAAAAAGACACTGGAGCTGGACGCGAAAGGCACATTAATTTTGGTAGATATAAGCTATAGTGATAGTTTTTGAGAATAACAATATCAGTTTTGAAAGACACAATTTTTGGGCACAGCCGTACAGACTTAACTGGAATACTATACACTTCAATTTCTGGTATGGTGGGACTGAGGACATCCAGTAGTAAATATTACAGGTTGGACTTGGCTCTCTTCCACCACACTAGACTAAAAGACCAAACTGTAAACTGTTCTAAATCAAGATACATAGACATTCAATGAATTATAAAATCTACTTAGATTGATAATCAGAATCAGATTGTTATTTTGTAAATCAAAAGTGTATCACATTTAGTAAACTACGATATAACAAAAAATGAAACAGTCTGAATATTTTTTTGGAATGGTTTTACCTTGATTAAATATGCTAGAAAGGCAATAAAACAGTCACTGAGTAAACACTTATAATATTGTCTTGCTACAGAGCCAAGTAAAGGGACCTTGGTGACATAAAAATTAATGAAGTTGTAGTAATAAATGTTCTTCCAAAGAAGATACAGGTACTCAAATAAAATAACAAATTACACCTACAGTTTCACAGCACCAATAGAACACTAGGGTTGGGAAGAACTATAAGCACTTACTGACATTCCAAAAGAAACTCAACATTCCTGATAAGATTAAAGAACACTACTGAATAAGAGAAAATGGTATGTATGAAGTACCCATATGGTATGCAAAGAGTTCCAGAATTTTGTGTTGTCATAACATACACAAAGTAGACTAAATACATATTTGTTATGTTGACTTGTAGTAAAAGTACAAAATCAGCTACTGCTGCAAAAGACAGCAAAAGAGGATAAGATAAAACAGTGAGCATGCATGATACATCTCTGGTGTTTACCAAATAATAAAAATTGTACTTGCTACCACATCTATACTCCCTATCACTTTGAAGTATAATACATAAGATTCAGTAACCACATGAAAACCTACACATTGGCACAAGAATCACAGAGGAATTTTAAAATTAATATGTGTATAAGTAAAAAATGGATGGCAAAGAATGGAAGCAACCAACCAGAGGGAATAACAGTCAAACAACTATGCTTTTCTGGGGAGCAATGGGAAAACAGCTGTGCAAATTTAAAGGTGAAAGCTGTTAAATTTGTCAACATTGTGGTATTAAAAATCAAACAGTAACTTGCACATTTTGAACAAAATTGCTCCACTCGACTTTTGAAGGTACCAAGTAAAATGCAGGAGATACCTTTGCACCACACGGACATTGGCAACCTGGAATGGTAAATAATATGTCAAAGAAAATATGATTTATTTACAATTTGTAGTTTGGAACTAAGTGCTCAAATACAAACCCATAATCCAACTAAATGAGCCAAGTTTTGTAGCACACTTAGGACAGTTTAATTTGCCCTGCTGTTGATGTGGGACTTCTGCCATCCAGCTTAATGGTTCAACAAAGTAAGTTTCACGGCAAGCTGTTGTCTTATCACAATCTCCTGCTCCATCTGGGGTTTGAGAAGGTTGACCACCAAATGTCCCTGAAGATCTGCGCGTTAGTTCAGTCAAGCGAGGATCTGTCCACTTTGGATTTTCTTTTGGAATGTGAGGAAGTATATTTGATGCAGAGGCAACAATTCTCCTAAAATCACAGGTGGTTAAACAATACAGCAAAGCAAAAGTAATAACTTATCATTGAAAACCCTCAAAATGAAACCTCACCTGCATTTTCGGCACCTATAGACAAGCGGCTCAGGTTTCACTCTGATCAATGATGGATCTGACTTAACTAAATCCATAAATCCAGTAGGTAAGATTCGAGCTAGCAGAAAAAAAGAAAAGAAAAGAAAACACATAACCAGAAAAGGAGTTAAACAGATGGCTAGGATCTATCTATCAATCT